CTACCTTTACGTTTCTTGTGTTAGAATGTCCTGAGGGGCCAAACATAGCAGCCATCGTAGGAGGATCTCTGGCAGCTGTGGCATTGATTGGTCTCCTGGTCCTCCTCATCATCAAGGCAGTTCTGTATGCAAGTGACCTTAGAGAATGGAAGAGATTTGAAAAAGACAGAAAACATGAAAAAACATCTGTAAGTTCTGTTTTCTTTAAACAAAAAAGCCCTACCCTTCATATTCAGTCAGTCTGCCTAGAACTGTTCAGTATTTATGCTTGAGCACATTATGTTTTCTTCTCCTTCTACAGGGTACCAACCCGTTATTCCAGAATGCTACAACCACAGTTCAAAACCCAACATTTTCTGAAAATTTGTGAGAAAACTTGTTGGTGCTGAACGCATGAAGCGCAGATAGGATGTGTATTAATGAATCTATGGGTCTGATGCATGATTATTCAATTAAATAAAATCGCTTTAACTTTTCTTAATGTTCAGTGAGATCTTTAGCATCTTTAGAGAGGCATGAAAGTTTGCAAGTTTGTTTGACATTTATACATTTGTTTTAATGTTTAACGTCATTAAATGTATTTAACAGTTTAACATTAGAAAGGCTTTTTTATGTTTTTGTGTAAAGTATAAAGACTGGTCACAATAGTTTTATTTTTGTATGCACAAAATATATACAGAGAAATCTAATTTTATTCTTGTTGAGCTTTGATGACAATGAAATTTAGCCATTTAACGAGTGCACTGTCCCATCTGGAAGGCATTTATAAATAAATGCGTCATTCACATGTGTGGAGTACCTCTTGCAAAGATTTTGGCAGTTCCACTGCTGTAAAGATTTCTATGTGTCTGAAGTTGTGCATTTGTAAAAACATTTATGTTTTTGAACCTCTCAATACACTGATAATGTATGTTTCAATGTCTGTCCAGATGCAAATATCTGAAAACTGAGATCACTATGTAACGCCCCTGTACTGCATTTCACAGATTCCTCATCATGAAACATGAGTACTGAACATATACATTGGCTTTCCACATTATTAAAGATAATAGACTTGTAACCTGAACATTTGCTTATAGCTTTCAATGTAACCTGCCTGTTGGACTTTCAATATTCATGACATCCAACATAGGTTATAGAATATGTGTGTTTGAGGGCTCTGTAAATGTCTTAAATATAAATAAAGTTGGAATTACAACTGTACTTTTCAGGAACTGCCTTGTGATTTTATTAATTTTGGCTATGCATTTAGTTGCTGGATGGCACAAAGCCATTTTAAAACTGTAAATAATAAATAAGACATTTTTTTCTATAATTTAGAAATTTGAAATAAAAGCTAGGAAAATAAATGCAAACTACTGAATACATGAATTTTATGTTTTTGATATTGTAACATTTTTATATTGTGAAAGTACTTGAGTACATATTGAGTAAGTACTTTCTTATCTGAAGGTAAATTCCTTGGCTTCAGATTGGCTTCCAAGGTCCCATAATGTCATGTCTCATTATCTAAAAAGAAAAAAAAAAGTTTTAGACAAAACCAACAAAATATTTAATGAGTACAATGCTTAGTTTTTGGCAAAAATGGAATCATAAATAAGAAATACTGACGTATAGTCCTTCAAACACCATTTTTATTCTTTCTTTCTGGAATAATGATGCTGAAAATTCAGCTTTGCAATGTAGGAATAAATCAAACATTTTTAAATATATTATAATATATTATTAAAAATATATAAAAAATAATGCACAATAATATTTTATAATATTATTATAATTTAAATATTTTAATATTATTTTAATCAAATATATATATATATATATATATACACACACACACACTGTATATACATACTGTATATATACATAATTCAAAGTTTAAAAAGTCAAATGAATCCAATCCAATGGTTTTCTGGGTTCCATGGGGCTCAAGTTGGGTAGCAGATCTTTACATCTCCACTGCCCTCAAGAATGAAGGCATCTTTGGAGACATGATGTTATGCAATCATTTGAACCTGCTTTGATGCCTTCCTACCTTGGTTTACCTGTAAAGGCAGCATTTTTTAGATTTGGCACAGAATAGCTGAAGCCCAACCTCCACTGAGGCCTAACACACTCTGCAGCACATTCACAAAAGCTGCTTCATGGAGCTGAACTAACACCGTCTTAACGTGTGCCCTGGATTATGTAAGAGAAGGGGTTGAGTTAGAACTGAAGCACTGGCTGTTCACTGCTTTCTCCCCGGGTGGCAGCGGCTGGTTAATGAGTTTGAGGAAGGAGAGGGGAGCGGCCACATTCTGGAGGCTGAAGTTCACCTAGAGACAGTCTGAAAGTGAAAAGATAGGAGAAGAGCCTTACACTCGGCTGCCAAGGACAGAAACACCCTGTCTAACGAAGGTAGCAAACATTCCCTGCAATGCATAGAATTGCTTTGAACTGTAAAAACTGTAATTTCAGAGACTTTTGATGGAGTTCAAATCATTTGATGTAAACTTCATGCATTATCTAATGCAAGAGCTTGTGCAACCCCTATTGTGGTACCATTTTGTGGTAGAATGTGTGTTGCAGGTTAAGGGAGGGTCTTGTAAGTCATGAGTAAGAAATTTCGTTCTCAATTTTCCCTATTTCCCATGCATCCTTCACAATGTCATTCACAAAGGCTCTACTGTTGGTTGCAAAAGGTCAAACAGAGCACAACAAACAGGGGTTACTAGTAGGCTAACAGTGAGCCACTGTACATCTCACTAATAATCACCAACCCACTTTTGATGGTCTGATTAACTCTCAAAAGATTTGACCAGCTCAGTGGTGCCCGGGTGTTTCGTAACCTACTTCACTTGCCAAAAAAACTCAGAAAAGATTGTCTGCATTGATGCTATAGACTACATGAATGCATAGAGGGAGTATGCTGAGGTTCACCAAGGGAGGCTTTAACCTTTTCATAACAGAGGAAACATTCAGCATAACCTGCATCTATTTATTTTTAAACCTTTTATCCATTTGTCATGGCATACTCGATTCATTCTGTAATTATGCATGGTCTTTGGACTTGTAGTAAGTTACATTACCTACCAGTCAAAAGTTTGGACACACCTACTCGTTATTTTTTATCACGATTGTCCACATTTGATTATTATAGTAAAAATAAAAATGAAAAACTATAAAAACACAAACGCAATTATGAAGCCAAAAAACGTTAAACAGATCAAAACTATCTTTTATTGTATCTTCTACAGTTTTAAGTTACTACACTTTGACTGGATTCTCAACCAACCATGCTGCGTTGCTTTTAATGAACTTCACATGTATGCTTGCTGCTATTCTTTCACTATCTGCTCCAACACATCCATTTAAAATGAACTTTTCATTTTGTACAGAAATTCATATATAGGTGATTTATATTTGCCCACAAAACTAAATTGAAGCATTTCAACAGAAGACTCAAAAGTCAGGTGTTAACATTATGAGAAATATAAGTTCAGTCAAGTGTGTCCAAAGTTTTTACCTGTATTAGTTGCATGTAATACCACAGAAGTGAAAGAGTTAACCAGTAATGCATTCCAGTCCAGATTAGAGCGTATTTTCACACTCTTTGAATTTAAGCTTCAAATCAGGGTTATTTTGACTCTAGAAATATTTTTTCTGGATTTCTGTTAGAAGAATTGTAGCTTTTCAGAAAAGACCATGACACAAAAGGTCTCTAGTTTATAAGGATAGTTCATTTAAAAATTTAAATCCTGCCATCATTTACTCGCCCACATGTTGTTCCAAACCTGTATGACTTTCTTTCTTCTGCAGAACTCAAAAGGGGATATTTTTGTATAAGTTTAAACTGTTTTTAATCACACAATAAAGGTAAATAGACCAATTTAGAGTAGACGTCACAGTTACGTCACTTGCAGCTGCGCGCACATAGTGGTTGCAGAAAAACACTGGGAAACCAAAACAACACTGTGTTGACAAATAAAGACATTCAACAAAATATCTTCATGTTCTGCATAAGAAATCTTGGAACAACATGATGACAGCATTTTCATTTTTAGGTGAAACATCCCTTAAAGGTTCAAAATCATATAAGCTGATGTCATCTAAGTAACCGTCAATCCGTCATTATCTCATTGTTAGATATGACCTCAGGCTTTTGAGCCTCTCCTTCTCCTTAAGTGTATATTTGTTTCTGAGCAGATCAGATATGAGATAAAGTATGCAGAACTTAAGGGAATGTGTAACTCATGAATTTCTAAAAATGTCTTATTCTTCCCAAAACACAGTTCCCCCTGCACAAGCAAAGAAATACATACTGCACTTGGGCAATTTAGGAAATGTCTTCAGAGCATCCTGCAAAAAAATCTGGAAAAATATATGGAATTCCATAGAATATCTAGGAATTTAAAATATAAAAGGGAATAAAATAATATAAGGGAATTTTAAAAAATAGCTTTCAAATTTATTCAAATTTAAAGACAGACCAGAATTAAATAAAAAAAAATTTTTAACAATTAGGAAAAAGGAATGGAAAATATTTAGAAGTGTATTTTAACATTTTTAATTTAAAGCCATTAAATGTCATACCTGGAAAATATCACAAAATCATGAAAGATAGTGCATGTAATTTTTTCTTGTTATGGTCAATATATTTTTCATAATTTTGTATCAAGTGTGAAAAAATGACTGGAACAGAAATGTAGTGGTCAGAAGGAGATATCAGTGGTATCAATATAATTTCAACCCAACACAAAATGCAAAGGACAAGTATGTGCGACACCAGATGGGCTGGGGGTGGAGAGGTAAATAAACATATTTGTTTCGCTCTATTGCTCAAAGATATCTACTGGGGAGGGGGGCGAGATGAACGACTTATGCCTGTAACCACAGATATGACACACCTGTATGCATATCACCTGCTCTTACCATATATGGCCTTGAGTGAATGAACACAGAGAGAGATAAAAGTGCAAGGGTTGTAAAGTAGAGAGAGCGAGAGAGTGTTGCACAGTCTCCACCGCTGTCTGCTTCCTTCTCGATTCCTCCGGTGGCAGGTGAGTTCCTCTTACTCTCGCTCTTTCCATTGCAGAAAAAGACCTTTAACTTTGAAGATGCTCATTAAAGTGATTCATTAGCCAAGCAGACTGTAAAAAGTTGACCCTGCAAAAAAAGAAAAAAGATTGTAAATTTAGTACATAATACAGCAGTGCTTTTTATTTGAAATATAAGAATATTATTCAGCGGTTATGCCTAGATATTTTGCATGAATTAATCATTTTAATTAAACTTCTATCAGCAGTGGCAAAAACAACAGCAGAAATAATAAAAACGATTAAAAAAATAGATATTAGAAATACGCTGGAACAAAATCTTCATGTCTTTTGTCTGTTATCTAACATTAAATACATTTCTTGAATCAAATTAAGTGAATCGTTTGAAGTGTTTGACAAAAATGGACAACACATACATTTATATTTAAAATATTCCCTAAAAAGTTTCTTAATGAGAAAATTAACTTCCGACTGTCTTTCTTGGTGAAATGTCTTTCGCTTGATATTGTTGGTCTGCAAATATCTGTTTGGTGTTTAAGCTTGTTTGCTGTTATTCATTATGATAGTTCACGACAAAAGAAGTCAATGTGTCGATTATTGACTGGCGGACAAAAACATCCCTTTAATATAGTGGCTTTATATTTGAATAACTTGACAACATGCTATTTTTCTATATTACATTGTATATTATAACTATGCATTGCATAATCTGCTGTGCTCATATGCTTTGGTCTGAAACAGAAGGTTAGATTGGCCATGATGGGCAGTTTACAGGAAGAATATTAATCAAGGTTATAGGGAAGGAGGATGGAGATGAGACATGTACACAGCACTGTCAGGCCTGATCAAACACCGGGCGGTTACATAAAAACTCTGCACACTTTCCTGTTTGCTCTGACACACCGCATCTAGTAATTCAGGAGGGCAGATCATTTGTGATTTGTCATTGCTACTGTAACAGCAGAGTGGAGCCGTTCAGACATTATTGCACTAACAACGTAACTTCTAGGATTTAGTTAGGAAATATGAACCTTTGCACAGGGCAGAGGGTTTGTGATTGGTGATTTAAGGGTTAGCACAATCTGCTCGATACAACCCCCTAATAAAACCCAACCATCCAATCAAAAACAAGAGAGATTGAGTCATCCGTATTATCACACCATCTATGCTGCAAGGTACCAGGCAAATATAAAAAGATGTTGATAAGGAGGCTCATAAATTTGGGATATGCAAACAAAAAATGATCCTCTAGGGCGTGTGTAGATATATATAGGGTGTGTATATTGTATGAGTGTATATTATTTGTTGATAATGACCGGCTCGCTGTACATGATCTGACATTTTGCTTGGTTACTTGTAAATAAATAGATTTTAGTTAAATTATTTTGATGTGAGAAGAAACAGAATAAATGTTTTTATAATGACAGTCAAAACTGACACTGTAAGGATGAATACATGTCACATTGACTGAAAGATGTCATTAGCATAACGTTCCATGTAAAAGCTATTATCAGGTGCGATGAGTCCACATGATTTGATAGTAGCTTCCTGCTTAATTTGTTAAAAACAACACCACAGATGGATGATAGTAACCAAGCAATGGCAAGTTTCTTAAATCAGTGTAACCAGGATGTGGACGTGAGGATAGAGAGGATGTGGTTGGTAGAAGTCATGGTTTTGAAACACACACTATTCCTCGCTAGCCACATAGTTTGCAGCATATTTAAACAGATGGGTGGTTTGCACACAACAAAGACAAAGCAAACGCAATATAATCAAATTTTTATACCCTAAACTATTTTATACCCTGACTATCATAAACCATGTACAACTTCCTTTAAAACACAATGGTCAGTTACATGAGCAAATGTAGAGAATATTAATATAATAAATAATAAAAGTGGATCAGTAATGCAATAAAAGTTATGGTTAAATTATTTAATTAAATCTGTACTGATTAAATGTATCTAATCAAGTTCGTATCTAATCAAGTTAGTTCATGAAAAATTAAAAAAATATATATTTAAACATCCATTAAACAAGATCTAATCATTTCAGAACCAAACTTGCATGAGATATTGATGATTGTTTTCAGAGATTATATCGCGAATTGGCAATTAAAAACAAATATTCTGCATAAAGAAAATTAAGCTTATTTTAGGAAGATGTTTACATTTTGATATTATTTTCATAACAATTAAGCACATTTTATATAACTAGAATATATCTTGAACTTAGCTTTTGTCCTTGCAGATTTAATGCATAAATCTAACTAAACAATTCTAAATATAGAAAAAGGAAGAAATAACGAAAGAAAAGTCCCTTTTAGAAAAGTCTAAAAGGGACTAAAGAGAATAATCAAAAGAAACTTCATAAATAAAAACACTGAAGCATTCTGAAATGTCATATTACCTGATTATCCTCTCAAGTTTATCATGTTTTAGGGATGTTTATACAGAAAATAAGACGAAATGCTGGTTAAGGAAACAATTATTTGTGGTTTGAACTATGTGCTCAGTGCAGTAGATAAAGTGAAGGACTGTGGGGCTTGATCACGCCCTGACATCTCAGCCACACTTAATGATAACTGCTGTGGATATGGAGGCATTATTATCTAAAAGTAATTATTCAATGAAAATCTTCCTTTTTATTCCAAGTCTAAGTACTGTAATATCAAATACCGCATGTTTAGGGGAAAAAATATCTGCCAATAGTTTTAGGATGACATGAAGGTGAGTAAATAATGACGGAACATTAACTTTTACTATTTTTCCTTGTTATACGGTAAGGTCACATGAAGGATAAAGTGTAGATAAAAGAAAACAGGGTCCTACTACAGATTTGCAACAGATATCTGATATGAGGCTTTCACTTCCTTTCCCTGGGGTGGCTAACTAGCTTTCTTTCATAAGAGTTCAAACTGTAGCTTTAGTGTCTGGGTTTACTAATGCATGAACTGAATTGCACTGATTCCAATTTAGGCCGCACCCTCTTTTGCCTTTGAACGACACTGAGGAAGCCTAACAGGAAAGAAATCATTAAACAATATATTAAAGGAACAGTTAATGCAGTTTCAAGCTGCTCAGTTTTACAATTTATAGTGACCAAGTCCAAAAACAACAAAAACACAAGTCTTCTGAAGCCATATTTTAGCTTCATGGGATTAACAGATTTCATTATTATCAAAAAGTAATTATTCACTGAAAATCTTCCTTTTTATTCCAAGTCTAAGTACTGTAATATCAAATACGGCATGTTTAGGGGGAAAAATAACTGCCTATAGGTTTAGGATGACATGAAGGTGAGTAAATAATTGAGCAACATTAACTTTTACTATTTTTCCTTGTTATACGGTAAGGTCACATGAAGGATAAAGTGTAGATAAAAGAAAACAGGGTCTGTAAACAGCTATAAGAACATTTATTTGCTTGTGGTTGTGAACTGGAAAGGAACATTAGATGCACAAACACATTTATGAGTAGTTCATACACAGGATATGTATGCTTTGTAGTTCTAAGAAAACAATCTGTATCTTTGAACTCAAGTAATTTCTATCCAACCCTCTCTCTTTTTCTCTTCCAGGTATTTCCCTGCGACTTAAGCTGGCACCATGCCACAGGATGTCAAGACCGATGTTCCCAAAGTCCTCAACAAAACCACACCAGGACTTCAGATATGGAGAGTGGAGGTAATGATACTTCTTTGTCAAATCAGTGGAGTCGACATTTGAGATACTGACACTTAGCAAATCATTAATCATTCTTCTTTTTAAATTATTGGTCAGAACATGGAGCTCGTGCCCTGTCCATCTAATACATACGGGCAGTTTTTTGAGGGAGACAGCTACATAATACTCTATGTAAGTATCAGCGCTTAGTGTCCTAATCGACTCATTTAAGCTGACAAAAACTAACCGCTAAAGAAAAACCATCTAATTTTCAGACTCACAAGACCAGCAACAACTACACCTATGACATCCATTATTGGCTGGGCAAGGACACCTCCAATGATGAGCAGGGAGCAGCAGCGATATACACCACGCAGATGGATGAACACCTAGGGGGCGCTGCTGTGCAGCACCGTGAGACCCAGGGTCACGAGAGCGCCACCTTCCAAGGATACTTCAAACAGGGCATCATGTAAGCCATCCTGACTGAATGAATCTAACCAACACATGTAAAGACCACACTTCACCCCAAAATAATAATAATAATATATTAGAATTTAAAAAACAATAATAATAAAATAAAACCGATTTTATATTTTGGTTAAAGAATAATATTTTAGTACCATTAGAATTCTTTGCTAATAAATAAATAAATAAAAATAAACAAAATTTTGCATAAAGAAATGAAGTCTACCTAAAGATATTAGGTTTAGATATTCATTTTATTGAATAACAATCAGACACAGTCTTATTACTGTGATGTTTCTATGATTTACTTTTGAGTAGAATTATTCTCAAATATTGTTCTGATTATAGATTGATTTTATGTTTAAACTGCATATATTGGAGGTTTACAATTTAAGTGGCATGTAAGTTACATTACAGCAATGAGAATGTATGGAGTGAAAAATTGTCTAATTGTCAAAATGCAAAAATAAATAAATAAAAATGATTATTGTTATTGTTCCTAAAAATTACCCTTAATTTTATTTATGAAAAACATCACTTCCAATGTTTTATATTTTGCTTTTGAGGGTGAAATATGACCCTGACGTTGTTGGCAGGAGTCATCCCGTAGTTTATGGTATAAATAAATGACATCTTCAAGGGGAGTTCATACACATTGCACATATTTTCCTTTAATCGTAATTTCCACCACCGAGCCTCTTTATTTTAAGATGCTGTGGGAAGCATATGACTTTATAATGCTTCTCTTAAGTCACACAAAGATTAAAAAATGTAGAAGTTTACAGAGACAGACTTCTTCTTTTCATTTTACAAGAAGTGGTAAACTTTGAGTGAGTAAAAGTGAGTTGCAATTGATAATTCTAATCTCTTTATTCCAGATACAAAAAAGGTGGAGTCGCATCTGGGATGAAACAAGTGGAGACGAACACGTACAACATTCGCAGACTGCTGCATGTGAAGGGAAATAAGCATGTGGTTGCCGGAGAGGTAAGAATACCCCCAGTAACAACAGAGGAATTCAAAAACCCACTACAAAAAGACACGTGGTGTAAACCCCTGTGACATTTTACTACTCTTTTTCTCATGTGTCAACAACACAAAAATCAACTGCCCACATTAAAGGAACACTCCACTATTTTTGAAAATAGGCTCATTTTCCAACTCCCCTAGAGTTAAACAGTTGAGTTTTACCGTTTTCTAATCCGTTCAGATGATCTCTGGGTCTGGCGGAAGCACTTTTAGCTGTAGCTTAGCATAGATCATTGAATCTGATTAGACCGTTAGCATCTCGCTCAAAAATGAGTTTTGAACCAAAGAGTTTCTATATTTTTTCTATTGAAAACTTGACTCTTCTGTAGTTACATCGTGTACTAAGACCGACGGAAAATGAAAAGTTGCGATTTTCTAGGCCGATAAGGCTAGGAACTATACTCTCATTCCGGTGTAATAATCAAGGAACTTTGCTGCCGTACCATGGGTGCAGCAGGCGCAATGATATTATGCAGCGCCTGAAAATAGGCTTATTGGAAGTTAACTAGCTGGGGACTATTTTCAGGTGCTGCGTAATATCATTGCACCTGCTGCACCCATGGTAATGAATTTTCATTTTTGGATGAACTATGGTGTCGCCTTTAAAGACTATGTGTCCTATCCCAGCTTAATATGGACAGGCAGCTATAAGTAAGTAGATTTTCCACCAGAAAGTGTAAATAATGAGGTTCAATCCCACTACGTTCAGGTGGAAATGAGCTGGAAGAGCTTTAATCAAGGTGATGTGTTCCTGCTGGACTTGGGGAGTCTGCTCATTCAGTGGAATGGACCCAAGAGTAACCGAATGGAGAGGTTAAGGGTAAACCATTAGAATTGATTTGCAATGCAAAAATACCCTTCAGTGATGTAAACTATCACATTCTTGATGCAGATGCTGTATCTTACCACATCTGCACAGTAAGTTCACTAAAGACTTTTGTTTTCATAGGGAATGAACCTAGCGAAGGACATTCGGGATCGAGAAAGGGGTGGTCGAGCACAAGTGACTGTAGTGGAAGGAGATGATGAGGTCTCTTCAGAGGAAGCAATGAAATTGATGATTCAGGCAATGGGGGAGAAAAAACAAATCAAAGATGCCATCCCAGATGAAATTGTAGATGAGAAACTCAAGACTGCCATTAAACTCTTTCAGTGAGTTCAATAGTTTAAACCAGTGTTTCCCAACCGGGGTATATATAGTTGGAGGAAATAGGCTAACAAGAAATAGAAGTTTGTGATATAATTTGATAGAAGATAGTGTAAAAATGAATAACATGCATCAATGAATTGTGCACCAAGACCAAGAACAGTCTGACCTGGTCATGTGGTTGTGATGCAAATATGGCAGAGTATCGTACAAAAAAAGTCATTATGAAATGCTTTTGGCAAACCATTTTGCTTCTGTATTCGGAAATAACTTCAAGACAAAAAGGATGTTCATTGTGAGAAATGTATTGCGAGACTTGATTTTATTAATCAGGAATTGATTGTGAAAAGTGAAAATTAAAGCCAAGGAAGGAGCTATATATAGTTGGAGGAAATAGGCTAACAAGAAATAGAAGTTTGTGATATAATTTGATAGAAGATAGTGTAAAAATGAATAACATGCATCAATGAATTGTGCACCAAGACCAAGAACATACATTTAAATAGTAAACAGAATAAAATCTTGTCTTGAAAATGACAAAATGTTGATTTGAAATGGAGAAGTGGAACAAAAAGGCACCCAGAAAGGAAACAAGCAAGTTTCATGATGAATGGCTATTCAAATGCTAAATGAGTGTGTAATCCTCATTGTGATATAAAAGATGCATGGCTCTCAAAAACAAAAAGTTTGACACTTTTGCACGAACATTGAAGAGAAACTGAAAGAGCCACTTTAAAAGTGGAAAATATGCCAATTGACATTGGTTCCTGTGACAGGACTGCTATCTGCTGGATCAAGGCGGAATAAAGATCTTTATCTGGAAGGGCAAAAAGGCATCAAAAACTGAGAGAGCAGAATCTCTGAAGAAAGCAGAGGTTAGTCGTACACCAATGAAGCACTAATTAAAGTATGCTTTTCACAAGGGGACTCATTCACCAATTGCGTATATACAAGTATTTGTGCATAAAACCTGTGTGAAATTGATCCAAATTGATCAAGGCCTTAAAAGTCAAGTCTTTACTATTTCGGAGCAGAAAATAAATAAAAATCTGGCATAGATTCTGGATTTCCAATTTCTGTGACATAATTCAATTCAATTCAATTCAATTCAATTCAAGTTTATTTGTACAGCGCTTTTCACGATACAAATCATTGCAAAGCAACTTTACAGCAAATTAGGTTTCTACAATATTTAGTGGTAGCTTATCAGTGGTGACTGTCAGTAAATGTACATATGGCAGAAATGTACGGAAAAATCAATTAAAGACGTAATCAAACAGACGATGAACACTATTAACAGCAATTATTATATGATGCAATCAAACTTATAGCAAAATGTGGTAGTTCTGTATGTTGTTTCAGGGTTGGCATCATCTGAGGTCCTCTGAGGGGTTGGCATCATAAGAACATTTGTATACAATTATTACTGTATACGGCCCAATATTTCTAAACTCAGCATAGTATATTGCACCAAAAGTTATTGCAATCATATTTATATAAAATTCTTGCTGAAGAAACACTTCATCATCTCACTTCATGTTTTATTGTTCTAGGCCTACATAAAGGCAAAAGGATATCCTACATCCACCTACGTAGAGACAGTAAGCGAAGGAGCAGAATCATCAGTGTTCAAACAGCTCTTCCAGAAGTGGACGGAAAAGGGACAGACGGTTGGATTGGGCACCACTCACAGTCCAGGGAAAATAGGTGAACATGACTTACTAATGTAAAGAAAGCATCATAAAATAAATAGATCCTAATTTATATAATTGAAAACACAGTCATGAACAGTGGCAATGACAGTCTAAAAATGCCATGCAAGGATTCAAATCAGTGAATCACTTCTTGAATCAGTTCCTTTACATGAACCTTTCGAACAAAATGGTTCACTATCAGTCAGTCAATCAGTCCTTTGAATGCAATATATGAGAGGCCCATTTAAAAAGAAAGCATTTGATTACTTTTTGCGAAAAGTAGTTTGTTCAGAAAAAGAGTAGTTATAGTTCAATCATGACAACTCTCGGAACATTTTAGCATGGTGATGGATATGACAATGTTAATGTATTTGGTCTTGGCGGAACAGATCTGCTACGCTGCTGCTGAATTGCTGCTGCTGTTGGTTATTGCTGTAGTTGTAGATTATTGCTGCTGCTGCAAGCAAGTACAGGAACTTGCTACTGCCAATGCATATGGCGATACCCCCGTCAGAATGCGCCATCTAGAGTTTCATGACTGAACTATATATTTAAAAATTTTTGTTACTTGAAATAAATAAACTGAAAATAAAATAAAGCTAAAATAATTAAAATAATAATAATAAAGAATAAAATAATACAATTATATTATATAAAATAATATAAAATAACTTAATTTCAGCTTGTTGTCAAAGCAGCGTTACTAAAATAACACTAAAACTAAAGTAAAAATTTTTTTTTAAATATGACTAATACTTTAACTAATATCAAAAAATCAAAAAAATATATTGACAATCTGACTGAAACTAAGACAACACTGATCAGGAAAAAAAAGCAATTTTGAATATTTTCACACCACTGAAAAAGGTTAGTTGCATCGCTATTTCAGTTGGCACTGCTCAAATGACCAATACTATGCAGACAATCATCTATGTATAAGAATAAGGCAGCGTTCATACAGAACGTGTGCTTGTGTTAAAAACAGCTGTGGTGAGATGCTAATAAAAACAATGGCATTCGTTTGTTCTGTGTACACTGGTCAACAATAAAAAAAAAAATAGCATAGACAAAACAAGAATGCATCCTGTATGAATGTCCCCTTAGAAACCCATGATTCTGACTCTACTATGCTATGATTTCTGATTTCTGTAGCCAAGGTTGAGCAAGTCAAGTTCGATGCCACCTCAATGCATGCCAGACCTGACTTGGCGGCACAGCAGAAAATGGTGGATGATGGGTCGGGCGAAGCCGAGGTCAGTGAAATGACCCTTCATTGTCTTTCATTCATCTCAGTGAAACAGAACTCATTACATGAATGTGTTCATCTCTCAGGTATGGAGGATAGAGGACAATGAGCCCGTCCCTGTGGAGAGGAAGTGGCTTGGCCACTTCTACGGTGGGGACTGTTACCTCATTCTCTACAAATATGAAGTCAACAGCAAACTACACTACATTCTGTACATGTGGCAAGTAAGTGTCTCTTCTGTCCTTATTTAATCATTGGACATTGTAATCTAATCCTGTACAAAGAAGATGTTTTATTATTTTTGAAAGAAGTCTTGCTCACTAATTTATTTGATCAATAATACAGTAAAAACAGAAATGTTGTGAAATATTATTATAAGGTAAAATAACTGTTTTAAAATGTAAATAATTTCTGTGATTTCAAAGCTACATTTTCAGCAATCATTACTCCAGTCTTAATTGTCACACTGCTTTTATAGTTATAAAGTACAATTATATGAATTTCTTTGAATTTCATTTCATTTTTAATTCCACTTTCCTACATTCAAATTGGAATTTTGCATCCTGTTATTTAAATTCAATTTAAAGTCAGGAATTAAGAATTTTAAAGGCATTCTCTGTTCAATTCTGAATGTTGATGGCATTTTAGGGCCGCCATGCAAGCACAGCGGAGCTGACAGCTTCTGCATATCAGGCTGTGATCCTGGACCAGAAGTACAACGGAGAACCAGTACAGGTCCGTGTTCCCATGGGAAAGGAGCCTATGCACCTAATGGCCATTTTTAAGGGCAAAATGGTTGTTTATGAGGTAAGTTTGTCAGTCTGTTTCTCTCTCTAGAAGCAGCACTTGGAAATGTCTTCCGCTGTAACAACAGAAACCGAAAACACAAAATCACTTCCTGTATTAAAGAGATAGTTCACCCAAAAATGAAAATTCTGTCATTATTTACTCACCCTCATGTCGTTCTAAACCCGAAAGACCTCCGTTCATCTTCGGAACACAAATTAAGATATTTTTGATGGAATCTGAGAGCTCTCTGACACTCCCATAGGAACGTAAATTGCGTATGCTGTTTTGTGTCAGCTGCGCCACAAGGATACGTTGTTTTCGTTCAAATCAAAGTGTAAACGATGTAAACAACGTATCCGCGTGGCACAGCTGACACAAAGCAGCATACGCAATTTACGTTCAGTGGAAACTCTCCAAAATGGCACTAGGGTGATGCGGAGGAGACGAATGGTTGAATAAAGTCGTTTTTTTTTTTTTGCGCACAAAAAGTATTTTCGTAGCTTTTTAAAATTACGGTTTAACCCCTGATGTCAC